TGGTTGGAGCTGTGTGTGTGTGTGTTAACCCTCCATCCATCACTCTGTCTCTCTGCTAGTCAGCTCTGTCTGCTTTGGGGACAGTGGTGAGGTGGGGGAGCGAAGGTTTCTGACAGTGACCTTTCACCCTTCACCTCTGACCTCTGCTGCCCTGGACAGCAGGGGATTGCAGGGTGAGGCACTCACCAGCCCTAAATACAAATTAAGACATTTAACTCCCTTTAGGAATCTTTTTTAAAAGTGATGACTGAATGAATAAACACAGAAAAAAAGGCCATGCTAGCAGCCCCACGAGGCTGCCATGCTCATTGCACAACAGAAAATAGTTGGAGGGATTAAAAGTGGAGACACAACTTTGTTATTCATGTCAATATTGGGGCAAAAAATAGCATATCTGATTTAGATAGCACAGCATAGCACACATTAGTTAGATTATGATCATGTTACAAACAAGCTAAAATACTGACACTATTACATACAAATATGTTATAACGTTGCTACAAAAATGACAACGGTTAGCATTCATCTCAAACAACAGCTAAAGGTGTTCAGATCGAATGAAGCAAGTTTTAGAGGAAGAATACAAACTCAATAGACAGACACAAGTGAAATGGACAAGTTAAGGGAACAGTTCGCACCAAAACTGCAGTGCTATTTATCTGTCTAGGTTGTTTTGGTTTGCAAAGTTTTGGAGATATCCAAATAGCCGTAGAGATGTCTGCCTTTTCTCAAATATAATGGAACTAGATGGCACTCTTGTGGTGCTCCAAGCGGCAAACAAATACAGTCCAAAGTATACTGGAGCACACAGGATAGAGCAAAAAGCCTTATTAGTAGTAACATATCCACGTCAGGTGTGTATTCATCTTTGATTAGAGACTCATTCAGCACAGGCTGGGAAAAAAGTCAAACTTTATACAATCTTAGAAAAGATATAAGAAATATTTAACATCTATTAAAGACCTTTCATAAGTAAGAAAGTATATAAATCATGATCTGGTTACTCAAGATAATCCACAGACCTTATTGTTGGCAGTTTCATGTAGGAACTATTTTCTCTCTACCTAGTAGCAACTGTTCCTCAGCTGAGGAGGACGCCATTAATGTTTACATCCTTTTGTGGAATAAGACATTTTTGTTGAGTTTTTCCAAATGTATTTTGTACAGTGCCATCTTGTTCCATTATATTCAAGCAAAAGCAGACATCTCCAGTACGCAGCAATTCACCCCAAAACAATCTACATGCATATACAGGTAAGAGGAAAAATATGTATTTTTGATTTTGTGGTTAAGCCCTCGCAAATTGGAATTGTTTAAATTTTAGGAAAATTGGGTGATGTAGAGGTTGAATGACTTCATGAACTAACAAAGGCAAGA